AAAAAAAAAAAAAAAAAACCCACTGATGATAACATCACTGTCAGCATACAACTGCATGGTTCATTTATTTCATGCAAAGCACAGAAGCATTTTTAGCAACACGCTTCTGCTTCATCACTAGATTTCCACTGTAAGACTAAAACCACCTCTGATAAATAAAATCAAAATAAATAAAATAATGCATGGGGAAAAAAAAAGAAATGCATCAACTTCGCATTTTATCACTTTTGATATTTTGGGGAGGACTTCAATGCAACAAAAAAATTTAAAAAAAGCGACAATATGAACATCACCATCAGCATGCAATTGCATGATTCATTGATTTCATGCAAAGCAATGAAGCATTTTTAGCAACACGTTTATGCTTCATCACTAGATTTCTGCAGTAAGACTAAAACCACCACTGATAAATAAAAAACAATGATTGGAAAAAAGAAGTGCATCAATTTTGCATTTTATCACTTTTGATTTTTTGGTGGGGACTACAAAGCAACATAAAAAAAAAAAAAAGCGACAATATGAACATCACCGTCAGCATGCAATTGCATGATTGATTGATTTCACACAAAGCAATGAAGCATTATTAGCAACACATTTCTGCTTCATTACTTTTTAGATATATGCAGCACGACTAAAATCACTTATAAATCAAAATAAATACAAAAATTAAACTTTGCATTTAAATCACGTTTGATATGTTGTTGCAGAGCAGAATGCAACATTTAAAGAGAAGAAAAAAGAAAGCCACTGGCGATATGAATGTCACTGTCAGCAGTTTAAGTAAACCACTGCATTCCATCTCAACGCAGCAGAATCTCTATGAAAAATGTTCATTAAATATTGACAAACTGACAAAGAGATTGAACGAGAAGAAAAGCGGCATTTAAAAACATCTGAAATTAATTCAAACTCATCTGCAGGATATGAGAGCCTCTACAACATGCGTGTCACGTGTTGTGAAGAATCCAGACGGCTCAAAAGATACTGTACCTGGGTTTATCCACTTTCTTGCTCTCCTTCTCCACATTGGCGTTATCATCAGCACTCTTCTTCACCACTCTTTTCCCTCCAGCTTTCACTAAAGAAAAAGCACAACTTCACATATCATTTCTGTAGAAGTCATTTGGAAAATGCCACACCAATGTGAAAAAGTGTTAGAAAATGTTAAAGTGTGTTCATTCTCG